GTGTTTAGCTATGTGCTTCTTCGTTCGGTTAATATATGTCTGCGTACAAATCATTAACCTCTTATTTTATTCGAGCCTATGAACTGTTTCTGTTCTTTTCATTGAGTCTTAATATTCGCGTGCTGCTAAGAGTCAGAATTGTATTAAAATAAGCTCCAAAATCATATATGGTTTGCCTAAAGAGTGATTATCTCCATGATTAACGTGCAGATAAATTATGGTGGCTTTCTTAAATTCAGAGCTTCGCATGAAATCGTACTTATTTGATAGAAAAAAAACTATGAACATCCGCTACTAAATCAGTGAACAATAGCCTGGGTCCTAGAGGAACAAGTTTGTCTCATTTCAGATTTATGTGGCAAATGTCTGGACAATCAAGCATCCACGACGTTGCTGCTCATGGGTGTTGGATTTTTGAAAACTCTCAAAACTATCATAGCTAGCAATACTGTCCCCAGTCCCGGGCTTTAATAATCTATTTCAATTAGGTAATCTAGCCAAATAATTTGTAACTTTAGTATAACTGTAATTAACCATAGTAATTTTAAAAAAGGTGAATATCAAAGCAACCCAGTATTTACAATTTACTTGAAGATACTGATGGGTAGCTTCAGCTGGTGTATAATAGCCGATCAGTGGACTGAAGGACTGTTCTCACAGTAACATATTGTGTAACTTTTAGTGATTATCATCTGCCCATCACTAGTGGATGATTTAATTGATAATGTGAACTTGAGAAAAATCTAAAACTTGAAACTTAATTTTAACACGCGCACAGTCGAACAGAATATGAAGTTTCATGCAAAAATAACTTATTACTTTGAAACCATTGTATCCAGAGAGATCCATCAGATCACACCATCACAACCGTCTCCTTGATACTTTTCTCTAGTGGTTTACTTCTTCAACAGCTTTATCAGCTTTATCTTAGTCAAGAGAAGGGATAGATGGCGGCACGGACAAGGTTCTGAAGCAGATCTTGAACAGGTTGTCTTCCATTGTGATCGCCAGTGACACTATAAGAACAAGGCCGGCGATGGAAGGCAGTTCATTGGATGTTTGTTCTGCTGGGAAAAGAAAAGCAGGTAAGACGATACCGGAAGGAGAGTCGTGGTTTTGGATCCTGTGTGGTATCGGGTCGGATAGTGCTGTCTGACTTGAGGGGTAGCTTATGTTTTCCCAGTGTGATTGTGGAAACACGGCTGAGGCCGGACCTTGTGATATTCCTCAGGTCGGCAAAGAAGTTATTTTGGGGAGGGTGGGTGCTACCAGTACCATCTGAAGAGCGGATCGCTGCATCGCACGAGTACAAGCTCGACCGATTACAGCGGTCTGCCAGCTGGATTCAGGCGAAAGGTGGTGCTGGGGCGCTGACAGGAAAACCGTTTTGCGATTAAAAGCCCCGAAACGGTGTCAGGTTGGTTAACTGATGATTCTGATCCATGCTCCTGTGAGTTTGCTGTTGTATCATCAACTCGCTAATCTGAGGCATCTCCGCATCTTGGGTGTATATGCGTACATCTTCTACTAATCCAGGTGTTGGCATGTGTCAGTGAATACGGCGAGCGGTTGCAATAGCGAAGGTGGTGTGGCAAGCCTAAAAAGGACACAGTAAGATAGTTGTCAGCTCGATGACTTGTAAGGGAGAAGGTATATCCGTATTTCGCTGACTACTGATGCTGTCTTGATCTGAGCAATCAAGGCTTCTCTGTTTTTCGTTAAACTATGTACCGTTGGGCTTTGAGGGAACCCTTAGGGGGGACATACGTAGGTTAGAATGGTTTGTGCCACCAAGTGGATGTTGGGGAATGAGGGTTGAAGAGAGAGAGCTAGAGAGTTGTTAGGGTGGTTTAGGATCGTTGGTGGGGTGTTTGGTTGGAGCGTTTGTTTTTGCTGTATAGCATTTAAGTCACTCGCAGTTTATTAACTGTGGTTCAACTATGCTTGTTGAATACTGCTGGGATAGGCCAGCTTCAATGGGGTCAAGACCCATATGATAAGACAGAAGGTATTGCCTGGTTTTGGTCTTTAGGTTGGGTAGTGGTCGAGCCTGCAGAGGATCTGCAATAAGAGAAGTCAGACGGGGTTATAAAAGTGGCTACCCAGCCTACATCGGTACACGCCTCTTGCTTCTCTAAGGCCCGGGAGTCTTTATTTTAGTGACGAGTTGCCCGGGTTAACAATCAAAGGCTTTGTAGGCAATCCCTCCACATTACCGGTACTCCGGAAAAGGACAATTTTAGGTAGGTCGGAGAGTCCTCGACGTGGATAGCAGGAGAGGGACAGAGTTGTTTCTGTGTTATGTGACGTCGTTTGACACAGTCAAAAGGCAGGAATATCCATCGGGGTCGAATGAGTGCATTGGGAAGGGGAGTCTGTCGGCTGGAGTATGACATGTAAACTGCGCGGAGGTTCTAGCCAGGAAAATACAACCACAGTGCCTTAGGATATCCGGGCCTTCCTTGACAAGAGATATTTCTGTCGAACCACCTGTAGCTAAAGAGCACAAGGTGAAGTGGCCGTCGTCATTGATGGTCGATTGGGTAAGTTTGATGAGTTGTGTGGTAGTGAAGTTTGCAGTGGTTCTCAAGCGGAAACCATTTCGCAAGAGAAGTTGGTGAGCATTGTGATGTAGTGACGACGAGGGTGTCAGTTGTATGGTATTGTTGAAGTTGGTGCTGGTTAGGATGGAAAGGAAGGCATGAGCTTTATAGAACGGGCGAAAGGATGGAGATTGACAGCCTGATTGAAAAGAGGAAGCTGTTGAGGAGGAAGAAAAGGAGGCAAGGAGTGAGATAGAGACGGATGGTTAAGAAAGTAGAGAATTTCGCCAACAAGAAAGGGGACTCCTGGATGGGTAGGTAAAAACGCAATCTTCGCCCTCAAAATCGACTTTTAAAACTTCATACATATTAACCGCCGAAATTATAAGTCTTATATCGCAAAACATCCCCTACCTCCCTGCAACCCCCCCCCCCTTCCATTTCTCCCCCCCCCCCTTCCTTCTGCTTTCTTTTGCAGCTGAACTTATATGAACTCTCATGCAGCTCTCTTGCCTACCCAGAAAACCTTACCGCCTGCTGGGCTTGCTAGAGGTGATAGATTTTCAACAGCACGTATGGCGTCGCGCGTCACGTCAAGTTTACCTTTCGCACGCTGCATTGAGCCTAGTAGTCATGACAACGACATTTCTTTGCAAAGTTTAAAAGCTGTGATCATTTATTTAGCCCAAAATCAAACTTTTCGGTTTAATTCAGAATCTACGTTGTCCCCAATTTGGCTCCTGGGGAGCCAACTGTAAATTCACGAGACGGAAATTTTGTTGAAAACCGGAAGGTTCTATCCATTTTACTTTTGGAGATATACCCCAGATGGTAGGGTTTGCTGGGCATACAGGGAATGCCACCTTCAGCACACAGGCCCCCCAAGCTAAAACTTCAAATCGTAGCTATATAGAGGAACATAATTCATCAACAGAAAAATTAAAGAAGCCCAATTTTCATATTATATTAGTTGAAAAGAAACCAACACTCAATTGTCAACGTGCAACGACAAAACAAAGTTAAACAATTTAATAATATAACACATTTTTTAGTTGAGTGACGTGTAAATAGTAATAGTAATAATACTATTGTTTAAATTTCACCCCTCTGTTGTCTGTTAATTTCTTTTATCTCTTTTAATATTTTATCTCCTGTATTGACATGTACGTTGCATGCCACTTTTCGCGCGCGAAGTGCTGCCGAAGGGATACTGGATACGCGCAACATGTATCAACTCCTGTACACGTCACGCTATTTTAATTTTCAGTTGAGCCCTATTTGTTAAATTTTGTCAGTTTTATTTTCAATTTTCATATTTGCTCGTTAAAACCTATTTAGATAAATATTTTACAGTAACATATTTTGTTTGAAATAAATTTCGTCGTCAAATTTTTAATGTAAATATTGATCGTTACAATTGAATTAATACTATTTCATAATATGAGTATGACGTAGAAATGTTGATACGTTATTCAGCTATTCAATTTCATTTCCATTATAATCTGTTTTCACTGAGCCTATTCAGAAACAATCAGAAATTTGAATGAATGAACTATTAAATCATGAGACTCTAAGTCTAACACTACACGAATCCATCAGATAACACTAAGGATTATATTTATTAATATAGATGTTATTGTTTTGCCTGTATGCTGTAGAGCCTGTCGCTCCCTAATCTAACTAGACTAACAAGTTAGTTAACGAATTTAAAATTCACCGCGATTTTGTCTAGTTTGACTTGTCGCGGCGCCGCGATTTTTGGCCTAAATAATCGCGATTCTCTTTTTCCTTGATGCTGGGCAGAGGCGCCATGCACTCAAAAGTAAACAAATATGTATTATAGTTAAATAGATATGGATTCCCGTGGGGAGGTGATATATATAAGCTAATTGTATTTACTAATCAGGTGATCAATATTTTAAATTAAAACATTAACTTTTTATATATTCAATTAAATTTGAGCTGATCAATAAACATAAATATATTGCAAATAGTAAGCTTAATATTAATTATAAATTATTGCACTAGAAGTAGTAATAGTGTAACTGCCAGCTATGCGCCTGTTTCCACTCTAATAACTACAAAAGTGCATTAATATAGTAATATGATAATTTCAATTTTACAATCCTAAAGGCAACTTTATCTGTACTCGGCTATGTTTTGTTCGATAAGCTCCTTTTTAATCGTTTCAATAATGAATAATATCTAATCTTGTGTGAGTTTTTGACTTTGAATTGATAACACTTATTATATATATTTTTGAGTAAACATTGGCTGGTACTTCGGGCCGGTCCCAAACAAAAAAACTAGAAGACGTAGTAATAGTGACAGTGTAACTGCCTGTTGTGGTCTGTCGATGATAAGAATCAACAGATTGTCTTTTATACTACTTCCTTTCGCTTCTTGTGTATTAATTGTAGCTAACATTATGTAGGTTACCTCAAAAGCTCAAACAAGATGACCGACTCGGACGCCCTGAACGGGAGGGATGAAACAGAGGAAACATCTTTGGTCGAACGGAAGCTGTTTTGGACACGGATGGATAAGTTGTTAGCAGTGTTTGGTGCTCTAATCAATTTTGGACATGGAGTGGAAACTTATTTGCCTGGAGTGATAACTCAACAAATATCCTGTGTCACTGAACTGTCTGAGTGGCAGGAAGGAACATTGGATTGTATACTTTACATCACATTAGCTGTGGCTCTTGTCGTTTCCGGACCTCTTTCGGACTGGTTTGGAAGACGGGAGTTACTTCTGTTCTCCCTATATTTAAGTGTTCTGAGTGCAGTGATCTGTGCTATAGTTGCTGACTACTACTTGCTCCTTCTTTCTAGAGCGCTCATCGGGATTTGTATAGGACTCAGCTTTTCGACTTGTTTGGTCATGATAGCTGAGTTGGCTTCCGAAAAAGCGATTCAACATGATATATTGATGATTGCGTCTATAATGTACGCTATCGGTGGAGTCTGGTCAGCTGGTTTAGGTTATCTTTTGCTAGATCTAGTTGGTTGGAGGATCTTTATACTTCTCACCTCAATACCCTTATTTATACCACCCATTTTCATGCTCCACTTCATCTTCGTAGGGACAGCAGGCCAGCAAATGCAAGACGAGCAAAACCAGGATATACCAAAAGGAACAATGAACGTTTCCAATTTTGTTGCCAGAACCGTCAAACTCGGGCTATTTGATGGAATGACTACATTCCAAGGCTGGCTTACAATCCTTCTCGTTCCAACCATGATCCAGATGCTCAAAATCAAAAAGGCTGAACCAAACAGTGACTGTTCGGTGACAGTGACTAAAGGACCGGAATTATTGTTATTGGGCATTGTTACTTTAGCATCTGCATTTGGAATGTTATTCAGGCACTTGATCAGAAATATGCTCAGTTTCCGCAAATCACAGGTGATAGCCGCATTGTTAAACGTGGTGGCTTTCACAGCGATGCTAGAAGTAGGAAAGGAAAGCCTTGTTGTTATTGTTCTGAGCAATTTCGTGGTCAAATTCTTGTACGGGTTCTCCATGATGGCCCATACTTACATCCTTGCTGATATTGATTATTTCGGAACAGGGAACTTTGCACTAGGTTCCGGAATATCGTCTGCTATGGGCACGGCTGGTGGAGTGTTTGGAACAGCCATGGTCGCCTTTACACCGATGTCTTATGTTATTATCACTGCGTTGGTGATCAGTGCACTCAATATTCCGTTAGTACTCTCCATGTCTGAAGTCAAGTTGAATTAGATATCGAGAAAGAAACATCTTTGATAATGCCAGATATTTACATGTCAAAATTATCTTTCAATCTTTCAAAAAAAGTTGTATTATTATTAACTGAAATTGAAATACAAATCGATACATTTTACGTACTGAAATATTCTTCGAAGAACTGATGAACGATCATGGTTAATGGTTCCCTATTTTTATTAAAGAATCTTTTGATATGTGTATATATATATATGTATATATTGTTAGTCAGCCACAAATGTCAGTAAAACAAGGCCTTGACTTCAAATGTCGGTAAAATATACTTTTACAGTCATCCTGATATAAAGACATGTTAGCAAATTTATTCAAAATATCAACCATTCAATCAATCAAATAAATAGAAATAAAAATTTTAGAAATTTACGTAACTCAGTAATTCAAATTACCGGTGGGTGAAAATCCCAAATGATCAGTGGTAGAGGTGAGAAAATAAAATATGCAAGGAAAAAAAATCATCTTTCTTCTCCCTACAAAGTGTTTTAAAGTTTTAAGCTGGTTTTGCCAAAAGTCCTCCCTTTGTTTACTTATACAGGGTGGGCCAAAAGTCAGCACCCATACGTTGGCCCAATTGAAATAATTCTTTCTGGTATGACTTACCAGAAAAAAAAGCAACCCAAGAAAACCTGGTATAATTGGGGAGCACTAAAATCGGATGAAGACCTACAGAAGAGATATGCAGTAGAAGTCAAGAATCGGTACTCTGCTTTATGCGAGCAAACCGATGAAAGTGAGGTTACGGAACTGTATGGGCATTTTGTTGATGCGATTGCTGATACCAACAAAGCCATACTGCCTAAGAGAGAAAAGAAGAGACGTGACGATTTCGCGGGTGATCAGCGAGTTCAAAACGTGCGTACAGCGTTGCAGCAAGCAGAGACTGTCTATCACCGGGATCCTAGTGAAGACAGTCGACTATCTGTTAAGCTACTAAAAACTGAACTAGATCAGGTGTACCAGGACATCTTTGAAGAAGATCTAGTTGCCAAGGTTAGAAGGGTCGAAATGGCTGCAGACAGATGTAAAAATAAAGAAAGTTGGAATGTCATAAATGAGATTACTGGTAGGAAGGCCAAGGGGGCAACTCAAATAAGGGGCAACGGAGCCGAAGAGAGGAAGGAAAATTGGCTTAGGTATTTCACGAATCTGTCAGGGAGTACACCTGATGTGGAAAACGAACATCCTAGCATCGAGACTCAATTTGAAGGACTCAACATCAGTACAGAACCTTTTACTCTAGAGGAGCTCAAAGCTGCTAAACTCAGGATTAAAGAAGGTAAAGCACCAGGTGATGACGGTATACCACCTGAAGTGCTCAAAAGATGCGACCTGGATGAAATCGTGTTGTCCTTCTGCAACAAAGCCCTGACAGATGGTATTGCGCCAGATCAGTGGAGGATAAGCAACATCATTCCAGTCCCCAAAAAGGGAGACTTGACAAACCCTGGGAACTGGAGGGGGATATCTTTGACTTTACTTGTAGCTAAGACTCTCAATAGAATGGTGCTTAATAGGATCCAGCCGGCTATAGAAGGGGTACTTAGGGACACTTAGAATGGTTTTCGGGAAGGACGGTCCACTACTAGTCATATCTTGGCACTCAGAAGGATACTAGAGGGGGCTAGACAGAGAAATCTACCGGCAGCTATGGTGTTTGTTGTTTTAAGAAGGCCTTTGATTCACTTCACCGGGGAATTTTGATGCAAACACTAAAGGCCTATGGGATACCGGACAGTATTGTGGATATCATTAATCTACTCTATGTAAACACGAAGGGCAAAGTTATTACACCTGATGGGGATACCGAGCTATTTGATATCCTGGCAGGAGTTCTTCAAGGGGATACGTTAGCACCATTGACCATACTTGTTCATTATAGCACTTGCCTATTGTATGAGACAAGCCTTAAGCAAGCACCCTGAAATAGGATTTACCATTAAGCCTTATAGGAGTAGGAGAGTTAAGGCGGAGAAGATATCAGACACTGGTTTTGTAGATGACATTGCTCTGATAGCAAATACTGTAAAGGAGGCAGAGACGCTGATGCTAGAGGTAGAAAGGGTTGCTGCTACAGTTGGACTTAGAATGAATGAAGGGAAAACCAAATTCATTAGTCAGAACATCGAGAACCCTGATACCATCAAGTCCCTGGGTAACAGTATAATAGAGCATGTGGAAGACTTCACCTATCTGGGTTCTAGAATCAGAGACAGTGAGAGTAATATCAGGGTTAGGAAAGGAAGAGCATGGGGAGAGTAGTATATATATATACACCTGGCCGGCAATCACCTAGGTGTGAACTGCCCCCGGGGCCTCCCCCGGGCTGAGCTGCCCCCAGGAGCTGCCCCGGGAAGCTGGGGAACTGGGCTGCCCCGGGAAGCTGGGGAACTGGGCTGCCCCGGGAACCTCACCAGGGGCAAATAATCGCAACAACAATCACCACAGCAATAGCCCTGGAACTCCCCGGAACGGGCTCTCTGTGAGCCGCCCAGGTGTGAAATATCCTCGTAACGGGCTCCGGGGACCCTCGATAGATTAATCGTTCATTTGTTGTTAAGTTCGATTGTTTAGTTTCACACCTTACTCTTGGACTGGAACAAGACATCTCAGATGTAAGTATATTTTTATTTTGTAGCGAATATTCTGTCCACGGGGCACACAAAACTGTCCCGGGCCCTTGTTCCTAAGATCCGCAAGTCCGGTGTGATCTTTCTTAGAGCACGAGAACTTTTATTGCAATAAATCCCTCGGTGTGAGCAATAGGTCCCGCAATTTGCAGCAAGTACTTGCTATATCAAACTTTGCCTCATCCCTTGTAATATGAACATGAATTTGCAGCAACTACTTAGTAAAACCAAATGTTTTCAAAATACTCAAGTATCTCTGTGGGTTTAGACAGCAACATGCAACAGTCATCCTATCTAGATAGAATTAACAACTCCACCGTTTAAACACATGGTAATACATGAGAACATTTTTCGTTCACCTAGCTGCTCACGAGAACAAGGTGTAAACTTGACATGTTAGTAACATTTTCTTCATATCAACTTGTAAAAATCCTGCAACAGTATGTGAACATATATGCTTACTATAAATTCTCCATCACGCTCTAATTCTCCATCAGTTCCTATACAGCTTGTTCTGTCTCGCGCTCTAATTCTCCATCAGTTCCTACTTCCTATACAGCTTGTTCTGTCTCACGCTCTAATTCTCCATCAGTTCCTATACAACTTGTTCTGTCTCTGCTTGTTCTGTCTCTGCTTAATATGTCAAAAAGACCCGAACCACACCCGATACGAGAGTTAGTTTACTTTTTCATTGACCTTTTTAATTATGTTTCGAAATTGTATGAACCTCACTGTTAATTTATCCACTTGATTTTATTATCACCGATTTTTTTTTATTAGGTGCGCAGACCACAAAGAAAACTGCAAGCGAAAACATATTAAAGTACTAAAGGAGTCGGGTCGTGGGTGGCCATGTTGGTGTCCGTAAGTATTTACACATTTTTACAACTTCTTATCTAAGGTATTAATTTCAATACTTTTAAAACAACTAGCTCTCCGTCAAATGAAGTAATACTTAACTCATTGATCTATGTTTTTAAACTTAGATTTGTATTACTTCATTTGACGGAGAGTTAGTTGTAAAAAACCATTTCAGTGAGCGGACCACCGACACTGGAGAACCAACTTTGAAGATACCGAGAATCCCGTAAGTAGCTTTGACCAAAAAATTTACTACAATTATTTCTAACTCAAATATAACGGCACCAAAATAGAGCCATAATGATCAAATAATAATTTTTTCAGGGTAACCTCAGCACCCGACGTGGCCGAAGACTTCGATGAGCTCGAGGAACTCTTGAGTAGTGTGTCAAGGTGAGACTATTTAGAACTCTAAAATGATACCGACCACTTCCAAATACTAAACAACTTTCAAAGTGTAGGTGCTCTATCTAGATTAAAGAGATTCAAAACTGAGGCTTTATCTCAACTCATATATCTTCAGCGAGATCCAGAAGGGGGAGTGTTCAATAAAACCAAAACCCCTACCACCCGTAAGTTTTCATACCGTTTAATATTTAATTTTTACAAGGTAAACACCTTAACATATATTTTTATAAATAGAAAATTAGCGTATAGAGTATCAACATTACACAAAACAATTTCATGATAACTGTCTACCTCAACATGTTTCCGTATTATTAAGGAATAAAATTAATGTAAAAATAAAATATTTATGGAAACGCTTAGCAAGCAGTCTCTTGGGTATCTTAGACGTTTTCACCAAATCTAAAACAGTCTTATAACCCTTTGGTGGTCTTTTTCGCCCATCTACTAGTCCATAAACTACCTCATCAAAGTAAATTTCGGGATAGTTCCTTGGACCGTGGGATAGAGTTCCATCCTTTGCTCTGTACAGTTTCATGGCTGCGAAATAATCCAACAATGTTTTACATCGTTTAGGGCTTTTACTGAGCTGTGGAACATCTAACGATTTATATGCAATAACATCACTAGGAACTATAACCTTGATAGTTTCCAAGCTTTTATCTACAGGAACAAGCTTATATTCTGTCATTGTCTATGTGATCAGTGAAACAGTCCACTTAAATAGCAGAGATTATACTAGCAACAACCGGTAAAATGAAACGTAAGATCTTTGAAATTCCTTCTCCATGCTGAATGATAGTCTTTTTAGGGGCCTTTGTCGCATGTACTTGACGGAGAATCTTTTTCATTGGCTGTGTCAACTTCTTCCTATCTTTATCTGTTAGTTGAATTGTACCTTTGACCAAGTGTTTCGCAAGCATTCTGAATATCAATTGTCACATCTGTCTCAAACCATTCCTACCTAGCGATACTAGAGTTAGAGACCATCAGCATTACCCCTTAAAGTCTGGGCAGACCAGTAACTATATCGGGCCAGCACATTCCACGTGTAACCAACAAAGAAAGACTGAGAAACATCTTACAGTGATTGCACATAATCTTTCATCCTACGACTTGCACCTGTTCATTAAAGAGATTTGTCAAGAAAATAGGAATATTCTTAATAGGGTCAAGTTGCTACCTAAAAACCTTGAGAAGTATATTTCTATCAAGACACCACGCCTGAAATTCATAGACAGTTGCAGACATCTCACCGGCAGCTTGGACAATCTAGTCAAAGATCTTGATGGACCTTTAGCATTTAGAAACGTTCGTGAGTATGTCTACACCATCTTACAAGGTAATGATGCTGATGTGGAGCTGCTTTCGAGAAAAGGTATCTTTTGTTATGATTATTTAGACTCACAAGACCGTCTTACCGATCCCATTCCGGGTAGAGCTGAGTTTCACAATGATCTAACAGATACCAGGGTGACCGATGATGAATGGGAACATCTACAGAAAGTTATCCGTAGGTTTAACTTGGTGATGGTTGGTGATTTGTTGAAGCTGTATAATATTCTAGATGTCCTCTTGACGGCTGATGTATGGTCTGGATATAGAAAATGGTGTCTCGAGAATATGGGGCTCGAACCGGCTCATTATGTGAGTGGACCATCCTTTTCCTGGGATGCAGCCCTCAAAATGACTAGACCGAGGTTAGAATATGTCAAAGATATTGATATGCACTTAATGATTGAAAGTGGAATACGTGGAGGTATAAGTAATGTGATGAAACGTTATGCTACAGCTAATAATCCATATATCCCTGGTTATGATTCTTCACAATCTGAGACGTATATCCAGTTCTTCGATGCTGTGAATCTTTACCGGTTTGGTCAGATGGGTAAGTTACCGTATGATGGTTTTAGATGGGAGGACCTTAGCAAGAACTCTCTGCAAGAAATGTTGAATAAAGATGCTGACGGTGATAGGGGGTACATTCTTTAAATAGATGCTACAATACCTGACGAATTTCATGATGAACTTAACCAATACCCAATATTCCCTGAGAGAATGGAAATTACTGAAAAGGATATATCCCCATACTCAGCAAATATTCGATAGAAGAGAGGAATGTCTAGCCAGTTCAAGTCGGTAAAGTTGGCTCCTAATCTTCATGACAAGGAATCCTACGTCCTTGATCTTGCTAACCTTCAATACTTCGTCAACAAGTGTGGTAGGGTAACAAAGATTAGGAGGGTTATATCTTTTGACCAACGAGCCTGGCTGAGAAAGTGGGCAAGTTACCATACTGAGCAACGGCAAACTGCAACATCAAAGAATAAGAAGTACTTCCATAAAAATGCTATTAACTTCATACTCGGTAAAAGCATGGAATCGGTGAGGAAGTATCGGGATGTTACCTTGATTGGGCAAGTTGATCAACATTTCCGACAAGTTAGTAAGGAGAGGTTTACACAGTTCAACATCATTAGCGATGATTTGGTAGCTGTGGAGATAGCGAAACATACCGTTATGCTCAATAAACCGATCTACACAGGATTCAAAATTTTGGAATCTTCTAAGTTGCATGTTTTTAAATTCTTCTATGAAGTGCTCAAAAGAAAATTCCCTGATGTGGAGTTGCTACTCACTGATACGGACAGTGTTTTGGTT